CGAGATTAAGTTCTTGAAACTAGGAACTACCGTAACCATTTTATTAAAAAAAATAACACGAGTTTAAGTTCTTGAGACTATGAACTATCGTAACCATTTTACTCTACAAATATGAGATTAAGTTCTTAAAACTAGGAACTACCGTAACCATTTTACTCAACAAATACGAAATTAAGTTCTCGAAACTAGGAACTATCGTTACCATTTTACTCAACAAATAACACGAGTAATATTGTTAAATTTATTATAAAACAATTTAATTCAGTAATTCTTAACCCTACCTATATGTATAATATGTCCACGTCAGTGTTCCAGTACCCCACATGACAAGTGTATATTTGTCTATACTCCCAGATATTTCCAAGTCACCCATGGTTTCTTTCTCGGTTCTTTTTTAGATTATCATATTCCGTTACTGCAAACCATGATACTGTCATTTTACGCATGTCTATGGTAATCGCTTTAGATCCCAAGCGTCTCATTTCAGCAGACTGAATGATGCTCCTTAATTTCAGCAGTTTGTGCCTTTATTCCGAAATATTAGGGCCCGATTGAGTTATTTAAATTGATTACATGCAAGCCTATATTAATTCATTATTAATGTAGCCAGCTAGGGGCTAATTAAGTGATTTGGGTTGATTTAAACAAAGCCTACTCAGTTGACTGAGTAACGCTCCTTTGTTCCGGTTGTTCGTGGCTTCCTGCTAAAAGAACGGGTGCCAGTTGAACAATTTGGATTGATTAGATCTAAGCCTACCTTAATTCGTTATGAATGCTGGTGCTGCGGTGTCACACAAATACAATTTTAAACTACTAGTCTCACATTAATCAAGAATCACTTGTGTAGTTTAATCGCGGGAATACGACAGTTTTTTTGTCAAAAATATACTCACTGTACATTGTGGTGTACTTTCATTTTTGGTTCAGCTGTAGAGGAATATCTCCCGATACTCCAGTTAAAATACATCCAAAAGAAAGTCCTGTTTAGTTATTCAAACACAGCAGTAAAATCATCTCATGTTTTACAGCTTTACCGATGAACATAGTTGCATTATTCTTTTTGTTTGTGTTGCAACCAGCGATGCTCAGTCAAATCAGAAACATTCCAATAAATATTATGTAACCAGATCCTAATGGTTAGATGAGAACTTAGTTGAACTTAGTGATAGAAACAGTGTAGCGTGAGATGCACACAAAGTCCACGAAATTATGTTGTGGTAAAAGAAGCATTTCAAAAGTCACTGAGATTGAGAGTTCAAACAATAACAACAGACATTTTTACCATTATGGGGTGTAAGGGTTGTTAGATTTACAATTACGTCAATAGGGATATGTAAAAGTAATAAGCAATATAATGGTGCATGATAAAACTACTAAAATAAATTATACATAAAAACTCCACAAACAACAACAGTTTTTTTCACCATCGTAATGTATGCTGGAAAAGTTTCAACATTTTAAGATAATAATAAATATAAGTAATAATGAAATGTATCACACTGCAACAACCATTAGCTCTACTGAGAGATTAACCCTCTCATACTGCAATAATTACCGACTTTAGTGAGGAATTAATCTTCTCATACTGCTGTAGCAACTGGTTTTAGTGAGGAATTAACCCTATCATATAGCAGTAACTACTGGCTTTAGTGAGGAACTAACCCTATCATACTGCATTAATTACTTGCTTTAGTAAGGAATTAACCCTATTATAATGCAGTAACTACTGGCTGTAATGAGGAATTAATCCTTTTATACTGCACTCATTACTGTCTTTAGTAAGGAATTAACCCTCTCATACTGCAGTAACTACTGGCTTGAGTGAGGAATTAACAGTTTCATATTGCAGTAACTATTGGTTTAATGAGGAATGAGCTAGTACACACTACTCTAATACAGGCTGTATATTACACAATAATATATTTAAATACATATCCAAAAAATAATATTGGCAAAAACGTAAGTTTATAAGGCCAGTAAAATTAAATGTTGGAGTAAACGTATTTCCGTTGGCGATTAGTGGCGATAACATCACGAAGAATGGAGTTACAGCATGTTACAGACAATACGAAAAAAAGGGGTGATTAAACAGTTAACTCAACACTAAGTGTTAGATCGTACACGTTTTTATATAATAATTGGGCTGAATATCAAGTTTAAAACAAAAAAGGCGGAAATGTTGATGGTCAAACAATTTAAGTTTTCTTGACTCGACACTCTGTTTGGATAATATTATCAGCAACCGAACTTCAAATTTTGCAATGTTAAGCAATAACCTATAAATTGTTACTGAAGAAATTAAAACCACACAAACACTTGCGAATACGTAGAAAAACTAAACGAAACAAATAAAACATAATGATTTGTAATATATAATGTTTTATACATGCATGCTTTAACATGCTTCAAAAATCGTCTGGAAAATCTAACAGCTAGGATAAAACCCAGCTGGGAACTGTAATAAGATAATTTAGCGGTTTACCTACTCTAAGCTCTAACGCAAATACAATAAATAAAACAACAATTAAGAAACGCTAGGTGTTTTCGATGCATTGGAGATATTCGTTGATAAGTCTACCACTGACATTATTTTGATAAACATGCATGGCGAAAGAATTACAATGTATGTGGTTTTGCACTGCAAGGAAAATGCAAAGATATCATGATAAAATTAGGAGCCATCTTGATTTGTTGCAAAAAACCTTTACTATACAGACACTGTACGTCCTACAGACAGCGCTGACATGATCCTAAAGCTTATTACCAATGAACCATTGAAGCAGAACAGATTATGCCATCTACCAAAATCTTATAGTACAACTATTTAATTTATCTAGTACTTTATATATTTCCAAAAGTTCGCAGATTGGACATTTTAGGTAGGCCTGTTGCTCTAATTACAATACATCTAGAGATATTATGTCGCTATATTTAGACACCAACATTATATCGAGCACCCATATTCTAGCTTTAGTTAACAACAGTTAAGTAACCATCAGTGGGTATACTGACTCAACCCAATACACTTGGCCAAGCTACAATGGTTTGACTGGTATGATGAATTAGTGCGAACAAGTTATACGGAAGGCACTTTTATGGTTGTTGTTACTCCAACAAATCAAGAAAGTCGGAGCTTGTTATTGGAAGCTCTCAACTTCGAGATAACATTACATCCAGAATAATTATATTCATCCTATTTATACAACACCACAGATATTGTTTTAATCTTAAACATTATTCGGTTGGGTCTACTACTGTATTCATACAATTTAACAGAGAACCTCCTACCATACTTTTAAACCAACCAATAATAATGCAATACACAACACTGTATCATATGCTTCTTCGTTGACAACAGAAGGATGTACCTTTTAAATGGTAACATATTCCATAATTCACTATCGACTTTTTGAGAAGTGGCTTTCGTACGTCTCTGAAATTGACTGCATGTTATCTGCAAGAACCAGGACACATTTCAGGGATATTACACGTTTAGTCTTATAAGTTTGTCGCAACATAATTCAACACTCAAGGTCAAGGTTTTTCTCTGTGCCAGAGAAATAAATGAGAACCTTTTTTCAAACAGCGCTTTAACGAGGTATCACCAAAAGAAATAGCGCTATGAAATATTTTAATTATTATTTACCTACAGGTAGTCAAAAACTCACAATTAAGTAAACCAGTGTTTCCCAGTCTTTTTCGAGGTAGCGCTCCTCCCGCTTCAGCAAACAATGAGCGTTCATGCCCCTTCTAATAAATGTTTAGACCATTAAGATAGTTTAGTAAAATTTAAAATTATAGGGCAATAATAGTCAATTCTTACGGTTTAATGTTAACAAATATAATTTTGAAACCCTCAAAACTTTTCTGTCCACCCCCTGCCGCCCCCTCAAAGTTTACTGCCCCTGAATTTTAAAAACGACCACTAGGAGCGGTACCACCCAGGTTGGGAAACACCGAACTATACCAATGAATGTTTCATTTGATCAAGTATCGATATACAAAACTTGTTCCGGCAAAATGACAGCATAAGAACAATATGCACAGTAAAACTAAATATTTATTGCCCCACTTAAACTAATGAAAACAAAACACAATATACGTTGACATTGGAGACAGACAAATGAACTTAAATCGCAATGAAGACGCAACACTTAAGATTGCAATTAACTTAAAAGTGACAGGTGAAAGTAGCAGGACAAGAACTTCAAATTATGGGGTTAATGTGAGGGAGGAAAGAAGGGCACTTTCTCACGACTTGACTAGTTGGGAGATAGTCAATAACTGCAGATGTATATACCAAGACCACTCAGAATCAATAAGCGATATATTTCTCACTCTGCCTGTGGTCTGTACGAGTAGTTTATATTATAGTCGATCTAAATAAGCTATAATATATATGAAAATTTATATGGTCTACTGTTTTCCTCGTGTTTGTAGAAATCATAGGATAAAAAAAAAGATATTTAAGTCGCATGAAAGCTGAACAGTCTCAAACAATTTTCGTGTTGAAAGAGGCTAAAGGTGATATTAAAAATGTTCTTATGATGTTCCTCCAAGCCTAACTCGACTAAATGACTAATGTTTACTAGAAATCTAGTTTTATCACTGATTTTGTTTCCGTAGTTTTTCAGTGTGAAATCCTTCTTCGTGAATGTTGAAATGCCAATAGTATGTAAAGAAGGAGAACAGATTGGAATTAGAGTGACTGCGTTTAATTACATGCCAATAGAGATTGAGGTAAGTCTAAGCTTAAATAATTTTGTGCCATGGTCATACTTACTGTAAAATGATTATAGTATATATGGTAACTTTTAAGTACTTATTTTGAACAGTGACTTACATTTTCATGTAGGTCCGGCATGGCCAGGTGGTTAGGACGTTCGACTCACAATCCGAGAGTCGCGGGCTCGCCCTTTCATCCGTGGGGGCGTT